CGGGAACGGCTCCTATATTAAAAATAAATAAATATATGAATAAATTTTACGGCAAGGGCCGTTATGAGTGTCTCCAGATCACATCGATTTCTCGAGCTCTGACGGGTAAAAAAGAAAAATTGCTTTTAAAAAAGTGGATCCAGCATCGGGTCTCCTCGGACCGGGTTCCGCGATGGCTTAGGCGAATCGCGTCAGCCAGGAGGTGGAAATGGGAGGAAGGGCAAAAGAGAATGCCTGGGAGGGAGTCCACGATGGACCGAGCCCCGTCAGCTTGCAAACATGGATGCACGCACGCACAGACAACCCAGAGACACATGCTGGAATCCCTCACTCCCTTAAACGGAAAGAAACCGAAGACTCTGACCTTGCCACGTCCTCGCCCCGGGAACCGGAGTCCTCGCTCCGGAAACCGGGGTCCTCGGCCCGGGAGACGGACCCTGACCCCTCTGCGCCTCGCCGGGCCGGCCGCTGGACGGCCTCGAGGCCGAGGCGGGGCGGCTGCTGGACGGCCTCGAGGCAGAGGCGGGGCGACCCGGGACCACCAGCGTCGCCATCCCCGACGGGATCTTGAACTTCTCGCCGCTTCCGGATCGCTGGATCCTGTATGGCTTCGAGGGGAAGCGGTGGGAGCTGGACAGCATGTCGCCTTTCAGATCGAGGGTCTCCAACTTGGACTTCCGCGGTGGGGGCTTCGGTTGAGGTTGACCTTGACCTTGACCTTGACTTCGCCCCAAGAGTTTCTTCGCAGCTGCGGCGTCCGCCTCCTGCGCGCCAGACGCCAAGATAAACTCCGAATCCTCGACGCCGGGAAAAAGAAGCAGAAATCTCGGAAACGACCTTGGAATCGGGGGATTCCTGCTTGAGCGCCTTCAACTGCTCCTTCCACGCCCCGTCGGACTCGGGGATGAGGAGCTGGATCCAGAAGAACACCGTCCCCATGAGTCTGGGCTGATCCCCCTGCCCCATGAGGTACGCAGTGCCGTGCAGCCGATTCCTGGGGAAGGAAAGGACGTCCGCGAGACCCAGCGAGGCCATCCCGATGGAGTGACACGTCGCCCCCACCACGTGGAACGCCTCCAAGCCGATCGACTCCTGAAAAAAAAACATATATATATATATACAGTATATATATATTTTTTCCCGCCTCGATGGAAAAAGCGGAGACCCTCCCTACCTTGAAGAACCGCCGAATCAGCCCCGCATCCATCTTGATCCTGTAGACCGACGACGCCTGGAAGCTCGGGGACGCCCCGCGAAGGATCGGACTGCACTCCAGCTCCCCGTCCATGAACGACCACGCGATGAACGTCCTCGGGTTGTCGTCCTCCAAGGACGCGAGCGCCTCGCTCGAGTAGTCCACCCGCTGGACGTGCATCTCCAGGAGGTTGTCGTCCGGGGCCAGGTGAAGGCGGTCGGGGGCCGAGTCAGGGCTCTCGCCCTCCTTTCCGGCCTTGAACGTCTCCTCGCGGACCTGGGCCTGGAGGTTCCGGATCTGGGAGTTCCGGGCCTCCAGGCTCTGGTTCAGCCTCTCGATCTCTTCGGAGTAGTGGGCCTCCACCGTCTGGAGCTTCTTTTGCAGCTGCTCTATCTTCGAGGAACACGTTTCGTGGGTCGGGGGATCGTAGAGGATTTTTTTTTGTTACCCAGGTCGTTTTCTTACCTCGGCTTGGTATTCTTGGTTGATTCGGTACTGGATGTGGAGCATCTTCTGGCTCTTTTCCAGGTCGGCCGCCATCTCGAGCAGCTGGGCTTCGATGGTGTCTCTCTGTTCCCGCTCTTCCTCGTTCCGTTTCTCCGCCTCTGCTCCGTCTGGGACCCCGAGATCCTTCGCCTTTGGCTCCTCCCGGACCCGCGAGGCGTCCCGAGGGATGGGGCTGCTGGCGGCGATGGGACTCTGGATCTCCCTCGATCGCAGCTGGTGCTCCAACGCCCTCACTTCGCTCTCGAGCCCCTCGATCCGGGCCCGCTCCTCTGCCAGTGCCGCCAGGAGCCGGCTCTTCTCCGACGCTTCCTCGCGGAGGGTCGTCTCCAGTTTCCCCAACTGTCAACGAGAGTCGTCAGCGAGGGCAAATCGCGGCGCGGGGCGAAGCGAGGCGCTCACCTGGCTCCTCAGGCCGGCTTCGGTGTTCTGATACTGGAGTTCCTTCTCCTTGCTGAAGGCGGAGCCCACCAGCTGCTGGTTGCTTTCTGCGAGGAGGGCGTTCTCTCGCCGCATGTTCTTCAGCTGCTCGCCCAGGTCTTGGATGGTCTGCTTCAGCGTCCCT